TATTATTATTATTATTATTATTATTAGTATTGTTTATTTATTTATTATAATTTTAAATTTAATGAACTGTGAGAAACTTTAAAAACATAAAACTCGGAAATATACCTAATATTATAATAAAATAACTAAAAAACTAAAAATGTTCGTTTGACGATCAATTGTATTCGCGACCAATTTGCCCGCGATCAATTGTTCGCGACCAATTCACCGGATACCGAAAATTGCATATGCCTATAAATAGTTCAATTTAAGCCGAAATTTTTTAGAAAATTGCACGGTGGATAGAATATTTTTATATTTGGTGAAAATTCCATGTATCTATGGTCATTTGTTTTAAAGTTACATCAAAAACCAAAATCGATTTTGTYGAAAACTGATTGTGCGTAAAATTTTCCGTTTTCCCCTTCATTTTTAGTTTGTTTATTCCGATTATTTAGAAAAATATTGAGAATTTTTTAATTTTTACACCCTTACTAGATTTACTTTCTGATATAACAAGGTACTGAAGTCGAATATCGAAGCATTTATACTGCAACAAAACGTGATGACAGCCACTAAAATAAAAAACACACATCATTGTAAAATATTGTACGTTTTTATTTTGAGCTGTTTAGGTTTCTAGTAGAACATCTGAACARCTTAAGAGGAACTCTCAATTAAATTTTCAATACTTTTTACCCAAAAGCAAAAATTGTATTAAGGATAAATTTAAAAAAGTTAATAGCGTCAAGTTATTATAGGTAAATAACCCAAAAAAAGACCAAAATATACTTATACTAGCAATTATATCAATCCTACAGTTTAGAAAATGATAATATATCAGTATTTTCTAAAAATGTATTGTATTAATATAAAAAAGTTATTTATTTTTTGATTACGATAGAATAAAACTGAAACAATTTTTTCGAAAAACAGTTATAGTTTTACATAAAAATTCTTGTTTTTACCAAATTTGTTTTTATTTTTTCCGATTATTTTGTAAAAGTTCCTACTGCAAATATTTCAATATTTATTTATGTAATCTATAGAATATTTTTCTATATTTTCATATTAAAAATAAATTATTTTGGTTTTGCTGTAGTTTGAAATATTTGAAGATTTTAAACTTTTTCTATTTTTGTTTCTTACTATAAAATGTCTATTCCTCTACAGCAGTTAAAATATTTCTTGAATACATTTATACATAGTCACAGTGTTTTATATGTATATTTGTTCAAWGTTCATGTTTTACAATACAAAATTAAATGAAATCGGAAATTTAAATTTATGATTTTGATAATCTCGATTATTATAATTAATATACCTATTTTATAAGTTATGATCGACATACAATGATAAAAATACAAAAATAATATGATGTGATGAAAAAGTCATTTATATGATTTTACGCCTTTTTTTATAATAATAGTGAGCTACAACACGTCAGAGTATTTTATGCTCAGTGAACCAATAGAAAAAATATGGTCTTTAATATGATAATCTTTATATTAGGTACCTAGCATTTTTTATTAACCTAAATATTTTGACTCATATTGTTATTATTATTTATAGGTATATTAAATTGATGTTTATTATCATTATTTATTGATTAATGTCAATAAAAAATGTTTGATCCGTCAATAAAATTGATATTGGAATACAAAGTTTAAATTTTAATCATAAGTTGTAAAAGGGAATTAAAAAAAAAAATGATTGTAAATTCACATATTTTTTATAAGCGTGTGAAATTCAAATGTTGACATAAAATTCGTTAAAATTACGAAAACTAAAAAAATTGTTTTGAGTCGAAAATTCATCGAAAATTTTCTTTTGATATCTATAAAATTTGAAAATTTAATGCTAGATTCTTCATAAATTCGTCTACTTTTATCAGAAAAAAAATGTTTACCGGAAAATCAAAACATATTTATTATTTTTATAAGCGCTTAAACAATTCACTTGATTTGTTGAAAGTTTTCTTATTATATTGAAATAAAAAAAAATAAAAAAATTAGGCTGACCAAGAAGCAATGCAATGCAATGCAATCATCTCTGCATCAATTCCAACCATAAATTCCATCACATTCGCAGATGCAAAGAACGAAATAAACCTACACTCAATATATAATAAATGTCTCTTTCACTGGCGAAAACTCAACACCAAACTCAACAAAATAAAAAATAATATAAACCCATGGAAAAATCTTGAACTCAATAGAAAAGATGAAACCATAATAAACCGCCTCCGAATTGGTCACACACAGTTACTTGATGAGTAAAGACGATCCTCCACTATGTGAGTCATGCAGCGTATACTTTTAACCGTCAACCACATTATCACTGAATGTCAAAAATACAATCATATTTAAATCGAAATCAATTTCACTTATCCGAACAAATCTGTCAAGCACTTGGACCAAACCCAAAGGATGTAAAAAACTTAATTTTATTCTTAAAAAAAAAACAGAATTGTACAATTTAATTTAATCTAGAAAATGTAGGTATACTTAAAATACTAAAAATGTTACAAAAAAAAAAATGTATTTTACTAATGGCCTAGTTGTCGATGTACTTCAAAAAAAAATAAAAAAAATGTTTGATACTTAAAATTTTAACTACATTTTATTTTATCAACTTCTATACTTGATAAAATAGTCAAAATATTTTGAATCGTTTTGAGCTGATTTTGGACATTATTTTTTAATTTTCAATTTTTTAGTTTTTTTCTCCATAAATGCCCAAAAGCTTAAAAATGTACCTAATACAAGGCTACTAGTACGAGTATATTATGATTACACACAATTTTTTTTTCATAGGCATTTAAAGTTCAAAATTTATTAAATTCAACTTTTACTAATCATTTCGTAGTTAAAAATTTATAAAATCTTTAACTTTTATACCTTATTAGGATTAAAAATGTAAAATAAGTTTGCATGTAAGTAGTTATTTCTATACCATCATGAATTCTTCAAATTTCAAAAATGAATTTAAATTACTATATAATACTAATGCAACAATGCTTATAAAATAGTAAAATAAATTACTTTAATCACAATAATATCATTAAATTTAATTAAACTAGCCGAGTATTGTAACATTCTAACAGATCATCGTTTCCGCTCAAAATCATTTTTGGTATAAATACAATGATTTTATATTTTTATATCACTGAATTCAAATTTAACACATTAATTTCAGTGACTTTAAAATTTCAGTAGATCAGAGCGTTACCCACTGCTATGTAAAATGTATATCTTTTTTACAAAAGTATTATTATATTGTAAATTTTATAAATTAGAATCTATATCAACACGTGTGATAATGACTGCGTAAAATAATGTATGATATAGCATCATTTATGTTCAAAAGAATACATTTTACTCTGTTATTTTCATTAACTGCAGAATAAATTCACCCATTACCAAATGTTTAAAGGTGAAAATAATTAGAATATTATTGTTCTAGGCCCAACAACCATATTGTACGTAGTAAACTATTTTTGGTACTCAGCCGTAAAATCAAGTTATGATCATTTTAAAATTTWAAATTTTAAAATGCTCGTAATTTACATTGACATAAAAAATTACTCTTGTCTTTAGGCTTGATAAAAAAATCGATTAAAAGTAGTTAAATGGATCCTACTAAACGTATAAAATGTGCTTTAATGGTGTCATGCATATCACATGCATGACGGCGTCAAGCACGTCCAGGGTATTATGTCCTAACTGAGAGACGTAAATAATCAAGCGACCACCYTTGTTGGAGGTAAATGATAATAATAATAATGATAATATTTTTTCATTATCACATTAACATCACCGATGTTATCGCTGACAATACCTGAACGTAGGGTTGGGATTTTTTTTTTAACTCCCGGGACACGCAATTTTTTTAAATGTAATATTGGAAAAAATCGGGATATTGACGTCCCGCTTTATTAAAAAGCGGGAATCGGGACAAAAAATTGTAAATTGATTAGGTATCTTAGTATCTATAATAAAGTAAAATAATTATGAAAAATTATGGATATTCTTAAATTAATACTACTGATACAAATKAATAACAATATTATATAACACAAATTCATAATACTGATATAAATGTATATAATAATAATATATAATATAAAATAATTTAAARAGTAGTTATAAAATCTAAAAACAAATCAATATTGTTTTAATGTTAGATGCTACAAATATTTTGTTCCAAGTAGTTGTAAAAAAATCGGGACTTTCTGGTCCCGCTGGCTTGTAAGACGGGACACGGGACAAAAATTTAAAAAACTCATAAAAWTCGTGACATACGCGTCCCGCTAAACATTGAAACGGGACGCGGGACAAGTATATTAAAAATCGGGAATGTCACGCCAAATCGGGACGTATCCCAACCCTACCTGAACGTCATGGTACAATCATATCTATGGGTATACAACGTGTAGGTATTTACAGTTGGCGTTCGATCGCACAAGTAACACAATATCGCGTCTCTGTCAAGTCTGTCCAAAAAAATAGTTTGAAAATTAACGTATGCGTGTATCTGCGGCAAATTTACGTTTGGTAAATGCATACCCTGCGGAGTTACTACACGTGGAAGTCGCATTGACCAGTGACTACTTATACGTATTTTATTGTTGGGCCTCGGATAATATAATATTATAACCTCGTCGGAAAGTGGTGTGGCGTTATATAACATTGAACATTATACACGTCACTCGGCCACTCGGGCCATTTGGCAGAAAGCCTACAGCTACCGCTGTAGCGGAGCACGCCGGGACTACCCCCACCACACGCATTAACGCCGGCAATAGGGTCACAGATTCGTTTCTAGACGCGCTCGGAGCACCACCGACATCACTACTACTAACACGGTAACACCACCACCACCACCACCGCCACCCCGACACTGCCGCCGTCTCCACACCCCACAACGGCGCATACACACGCACGCACACGCCTGCGCACAAATACACACGCACACACAGACAAGTACATGCGTTTTGTGTTTAACGTGAACACTTGGATCCGTAAACTGTTCAGCCGCTCCGTCCATTTTACATTTGACTGGTCGTCCGACACGCTCGTTTGTCGTATAATACTACGTACACTCTAATACCCTGTCAGCTAAACCCACCAACTGGTTCATACTAAACTCACGACTGTACACCATTTGATATTTAAAGACCTACTCCGGTTTAGTAAATATAATATTTCCTATTATAAACACCGTGAGCCCAATCGTTCGAGATCCATCTCACGATATTATTATTTACTTACACGTCGACAAAGAATACCTACACGAGCACCATCATGAGGAGCGAAGTTCTCGAAGAAATGCCCGAAGCAATAATGGAATATTTCTGCGAACAAGTATTGAAACGCGATTGGCCGAACTGTATTCACGTGAGTATATTATGGTGTATAAAAAAAAAAACATTTTTTTCTTATTATTATTAGTGTTGTACATTTTATAAAGACTGAGTTTGAGTGAAACCGCCCATTGATAGAACTTTATGAAAAATGTAACTGTTGTCGAGTTAAAATCAAAATCAATCGAGTCGATTAATCGATAGCAGGATTTCCATGTAGTGTTCTGATTCAAAATCTGTTTGTATTTAAATATAGGTTACTAAAACTTGATATAAAGGTCTATAACTGTATAAAGAGGGTCAAGCATATCTGTATTATAATTGGCAATTTAATAGTTACGGTCACATTATATTTATATAAAATATATTATATATGAGATCCTAAAGAGTATGAAAAATAAAAGAACAAATATTATGAACTTACGATAAATATGTATTCTATATTTCTATGATGAATTATTTAGTTGTGGAAAAATATGTTATAACTTATAAGTTACAAGTTTATATCATATAAGCATATCAATATATAATATTGTAGATATAATATTATATACGTATCTATAAAATAAAATACTCTTGGACGGCACACATAATTATGTAAATGTGTATTTTTCAAGCATGTTAATGACTTAAGGGTTCATTTGATTTGATGACGTAAGTCCATCATTCAGTAGTCAGTATCTGGAGTCGGGTCTTAGAGTCTACAATATGCGATTATTAGTTACCAATTTATATGATTACAGTGCAACGTTTTTTTTTTCAATAGACAACGCGCCACACTGTCGCATATACGCAGCACACGTGTATACACAGACAGCTTCAAATATATTTCAGAAATCATCAAAAAATAATTATATTTTGAAAACAAAAACAATTAGTATTTTTTTTTATTTCGGAAAATATGTATTTTAAATATAATATACTAAATAGACAAATAGTTGTTATTAGATAATTTATATTTGTCTTTAACGTTTATAAACTATCCTTGGCCAAATTCAATAAGTATTTACTTACCTACATTTATATTATTTCGTAAAAATTTTTAGTTTGGTGTCTTGGTATAATTGTTTATGTTTTACATATTCCTGTAATTATTATATTTATGTGTAATGTGTAAATAATTATAATTATTTTTTTAAATTTAATTAAATTAGTACCATATATTAGACTACTATAATATTAGTCCGTAACATATATACTTATTATTATTGTAATAATAATACTTACTACTTATTAAGTACCTCAAAGGCTCTAACTTTTATAAATTTTGTACTTAATGTTATTTAAATATCATTTAATTTTTATCATATTTCATATTTTTACTAATTTYGTAATCATCCATTCGTATAATTTACTACAGTAAACACAGTGTATAGTTAACAGTGTTTACACCCAGATATTCACAGATATTTATAGATCAACATTTGAGCCACTTTATTTATAACCTGAAAAAAATTTCATTTACAAATATATATATGCACATAATAATGTTTGTTGTAATTAGACTGTTAAATTACAGGTCCAATAAATTGTATGTAATGCTYACTATAAACAAATCGCTATAAGTACCTACATTGATTTGAGTACTTCCTTGTTAGCTATAAATTAGCAAAACACAATCAATACGAAATTAATAAGCTAAAAAATAAATTTAAATTAATCCAACTAAACTGGTAGTGCCTAAATTAATTTATAAATTTGTATTCACAATAATATAGACACATACAAAGCTCTTCTAAGTATAAAGCAAAATAAGTGTTTGACCTCAATCTTTATTCGTGTATTTATTTATGAATAAACATTGTTGCAAAATGAATAATCTATTTAAACGCTAAAAATGTATTTTTAATCACTAATATTTTAACTGATTTCATTCCGCTGGTACCTAAAGTAATCAACCATAAAATTACCATTAATCTTGACAACTTTTCTGTTACCGGTTACCTYATGACAAATAATATTTGAYAAAAAATAGATTTTTCTAAAAATAATATGTTTATTTATTAAAATGTAAAAGTTTACCCATAATAATATAAAAAAGTATRCTATTTTAAATTATAAATACCTATTAAAACCCATTGAGTATAAACACCAATTAATTAGCTTATTCACTATTAAAGTCTATTCATTTTTATTTTAGTTTTATTTACTTAGACATTGACAACTTGATAATAAAGATTTTTTACTTAAAAAAATTAATATTTATTACCTAYATATAGGTTATTTTATTCTTCGGGTATACGCATAATTTAATGATATTTTTCAAATAATATTCTAAAAACGGTATTTAAATCTGCTTCCCCAATTATTTTATTATTATATATAACTACCTATCGATACTTCGGTCTCAATAATGCAATCTTTTTAGTTATTAAACAGATGTGCATTCTATCGAAAAATCATAACATACCTATTTAAATACGTAGTGTTTGTATAACATAGAAATTAGGCATATTATGTGTAATAAACCGTATCTTAAAACTTCATTAAACTCATTTGATCGTTGTACTAAATATTTTTAAATGCAACGATTTGATTTGATTTTAATTTTACAATTCTTTAAGATTTTAAGTAAACTGTCAAGTGCAAAGGTCATGATTAATCTTTTTTTCATYCATTTAAACTGTTTCTATTTAATTATTGTAAAATATAAATATATAATATAATAAAATATAAAGTACATACCGAAAAAGTTATTTATTATCAAGCATTAATTTTGTATTACTTGTTCATTTCATCATTTGTATTTTCCATTTTTCAGGCATATTATTTTATCAAAAATGCATTTCAATGGATGCGTAAAAATTCAGCATCGAGTTACAAATTATACTATATTTCTAATGACGTTGAAAATGGAACATTTATTGGGATTTTATCACGACCTGTAAGTACGAATCATAAATACATTTGATTAATAAGAAAAATKTCAATGTGATGACCATTTTATTTTTATACAGCAAAACTTAAAAAGTTCTTATTGGTTACAAATGTTTGTTTTATAAGTTGTATAAATTGTTATGATTTTTAATGTGATCTGCACTGAAGGTTCGGACGTTTTAGATTATTATACGGCCAGACATCTGATGGTTAATATAATTTTTAAGATTGTTTTTTAATTCTAGGATTTTTTTCATTCATGACGCTGGAAGATACATTATACGAATTGCACAGTAATATTAATTTCAGGAAGAAGAATATCCGGACGTCATAGTTACATACACTTGCCCGGGSAACGAAGAACAATTCCGAAGGATACTATTTAGCACTGAGATCATCAAYTGGCAGAAGAAACCGCTGTTCCAAGCTATTCCGTTCAGGATGAAGGCCATCGTGGAAACGATGATTGAAGAAAAAGGATTGAAGAGTAAACTGTACTCAAATGCTGTGCTTAAGTGGATGCCAGCCGATGTAGCCGCCAGATTAGATTACGAGTAAGATATACGCTTTTTAACTACATACATGATTATCTATTACTGTATTAGGTAAGTGTGCATTACGTATAGCGTGGTACAGCCAAAACGTTTAAATTATAATAATGTAATCTTTGACTTAGGAACTTATTATTGGTTACATTTTGTATACAATTTTATGAATGGCAAAGTTTAGTTTCATAATTGTGAGTATATACACGATATTACACACAATTGCGTATTCTGAATCTATAGCACACGTTTTTATTTATTTTTATATTATAAATTTTGGACGTACCTATGAGTGATAAATTTTTTATCTACGTAATAGAATTATTTAGATAATAATATTATACTATGATGGTTTATCCTAAAATATAGGCGTTAAAATTTAAAACTTTTCTCTATTGATGCAGTGATTGTTGCTGTAAGTTGCTGTAAGTGTAACGTTACTCCAAAAGGTAGTCGATAATGTTAATTTTAAATTAAGTGATAGAAAATAATGCAACAGCTACCCTAAATAGTTATAAATTCAGAATAAAGGAATTAATATTTAAAAAATAGTTTTTAATTTAATGTGAATTATCTCGTACATGACATCGATATGGTCTTGAATTTCACTGTTTAATCTCAAAAAACTGATTTCAAATTTAAAAAAATTGTGTGATTTACCACAGTATTATAAATATAGATAAAATTAAATAATTTGTGATATACGTTTTAGGGTTGTGATTATAATTGAATAGTGAAAAATCCATTGTCTATAAATTAAATTGCCTATTTATGGAAATTAACCAGCTTTGCGGTTAAAATCAATTTATATAGGTATAGACTATAGGTAAATCCTTTCTTTTATTTTCGTAGTTGGATAGATATAAAAAAAAAAAACATGAGATACGAAAAAACAATTTATAAGAAGTCTCAATATTTATTGAATATATATATATAATATATATTATGCTTAAATTGCAAACCTTATCGTAAGTTATGATTAGTGAGCGATGGAATTTATTCAAAATTTTAATACGTATATGTAGTAGGTATAATGAATTGTATAGTGTCTTAGACTATGACTCATAGTGAACCTATARTCTATATTATAAAAGAAATTATCGACATTTCATAGGTTGATTAATCATTTAAGATACAACTGCCAACTATAGAATAATATTATATTTTTTATCACGCATTTTTAATGAAATCATATTCAGTTTTGTATAGGTAATTTAATTTAAAAAATAATTATATAAAATAATAATAATTAAAATAATAATTTTCAAAATTAAATACAAATTTTTCAAAATACAAATAATATATGGTTGGAAGATCCCGAAATAATATAAACTAAACAACTTTTGTTAAATGTGTGAGTTTTGTGAAACAAAATATGCACCAGTTAATACTTTATTTCCGGGGTTTGGCAAAAGTACTAAACATCGATTGTGATCTTCAATTATATTATAATGGATGCGGGGTCATTTTAACAATCCGTTAAATTCAATAACTATCAAGTTATAAAAGTTACGAAAAAATACGGCTAAGTAGATGTCAGTCTGCTGTAAAGTAGGTTACARCTGTATTRCTGTAATGGATACTATTGAATTTGAATTCAATGATATAGCAGCAATGTATACGAAAAAGATTCTGAGGGRAGACGGTTATAGTCAGTCTAGAATATTTTATACTACCTATATCAAGTAAAATGTATGTACCTGACTCCCTCAGTCATTAATAGTACATACAATATACTACAATGTCTATAATGTATTAGTATTATAAGTCATTTACTATTAAAATTAGGATATAAAGAATACTCTAGAAATTTCTAGTACCCGCGAAAAATATTTTTGAACTACAGCAATACAATTAAAATCGTTTTTCTTGGCTAATCTGAACTTAAAATAACTATAAAATAAAAACAGTGKTTAGTTCTTAAATGTTTTTTGTTACASAACAAACTACTTCCGTAGGTACCTTATTTTAAATTTTCAATCCTTAACTATAAAATTAGAACGTTTTATAAATTGTAAATTTGTTATTATAACTTTAACATGTACATTTTGTCAAAATTTGAACATTAAACGGTTAAAGAAATAAAATGTCCTTATGTATTTTTAATATTTTTCAACTGCTATTATATAAAGGTATATAACCTTACCTAGCCTAACCTTGTATTCAATTTTCAAGGTTTTTGATCTTACGTCGTAAGRCTTACGAATAAAATTTTATTGACATTTACAGAATAAAAAATTATAAAAGTCTGTAGATAACTTAAAAATAGTTGAAATATTTTTAAAACTATTAAGTACAGGGCATTCTAATATAAACTTTCAGTGAAAAATTCGTGTACCTACAGTAATTTGTTTTAGAGTTATCAATTATCACCAATTGGTTTAGTTAAAAACCGATTTTGCGTAAAAATGTCCGTTTTACCTTGATTCACCCCCCCCAAGGCTTTTTAAAACTACTAGGACCTTGATTTTTCTAATGTACCAACTAAATTCACATTTTACCAAAAAAGCTACTGAAGTTGAAAATCGAAGCATAATATTACGACTACTTTATCGCGTGAGAACAGACAAAAAATTAAATAAATAAAAAACACACATCATTGTAAAATTAATACATTCGCCGCCCAGAATCTAAAAAATTATATACTTTTTCACTGAATATAAAAGGAAGAAACTCATAGTTTTGATAAACCAAAAACCTTACCTCATTAAAATATGGATTTTAATTTCTCAGTTAGAATACAGATATCTATAAATTATTTTTGTTTCTATAGGATTCCAGAAGATGTTTTTATTGGCCAATTGACCGTGGATCATATTGACTTTATCTATTCGTTATGGACTCACAGCGACGTTTACCCCAAGTCCGATCTTTGGGATACGGTAAGACTCAACATTGGTTTAGGTGTATTCAACCGGCACAATGGCGAACTATTGGCATGGGCCATGTGTGGCAGTTATGGTGGTCTTAGTACTTTGATAGTTCAGCCAGATTACAGAAATCGTGGTTTTGGTAAGCTGATTGTGTTGGCAGTTACAAAAGTAATGGGTGAGAGTGGCGTTTCTCCCCATGCACTTATTAATGAAAAGAACAAAGTTTCGTTGGGCTTGTTTAAGAATGTTGGCTATGTTAAACATTCGACGCCATTACCATACGTAGTAGTCGAAGACCCGGATACTTCTGGGCCATAAATACCGGATTAATTACCTTGGCATAATGGCATTTACCCCTACGATTGGATTCAAAAAAATATATTATTCATTCAATGAAACGTTCGAATTCCGCTAAATGAGAAGAAACTACCATAGCGGAAWCAAAGACGATTTATACAGAAACTGCTAATAATATAAAGATTAAAGAATAATGAAAATTAGATTTTATATATTTTATTTTTAATCATAATTAATTGATTTCTAATTGGATCTGTAAATATCCCGTTATACGGATATACTTTATCATTATACAATAATTGTAATAACATCTATAATTTAAAAGTGTTAAATATTATCGCGGTTATTTAAAAAGAAATATTTAAAAACAATTTATTTATGATTATAATTTATAAGATTACATAATAGAATTTATCCAAAGTATAATTTATATTTTTGATTATTCTCATGTAATAATTGGGTAGCTTATTGGAAATGTCTTCAAAGTCATTGTGGTGAAACAGTTCAAAAAATAAATAAAAACTAAAACATCAAAATAGGATTCTCTTTTATTTCTCAAAAGAATACTACTATCTTATTTTGGTGGAAAAGTAGATCACAGTCCTTGTACCCCTATGGAGTTTTTCGGTACACCCAATTATTGTTCGAAAATTAAACCTCCATAAATAAATAATTAATTTTTATAAACTAAAGGTTGTGCACTTCCTATAACTACAGATCTTTATGATGACGCGCATTTGGAATGTCTTATTTATATTTTATATATATTTATATCACCATTTGAAGCCCAGTTTTGAGCATAAATGTTCAACTAAAATAAAATCTAGGTTATCTTACATATAATATAATATCTTAAGATTATAAAAAATACACAATA